CCCCGGAGCCGCCCGGCGCGCTCGCTGCCTCGCTCGCCTGCCCGCCGGTCCACCCGCTCGCTCACCGTCCGGTGGTGCTGCTGCTGCTGTCGGTGTCGGCTGACGCTCAGCCCCGGGAAGCAGCCGACAGTCAGCGCTCCGCAGCCGCCTGCTCCCCCGCCGCCGCCCCGTGAGGAGAGAAGCAGCAGGAGCGATCTACCTGCGGCGGCCGCCATCTCTCAACTGGAAACGGCGCCGACCAAGGCAGCGCAGCGGACGGCTAGGGCGGAGCACAGAACTGCCTTTCATTCATGAAGAGCCAATCGCCATGCGGGAATGAGTGGCTGAGGCGGGGCTTCCTGCAAAGCCCAATAGACGGGCGGGAGAACCACACTTGAAGCCGCCTGTCACTTGCGGAGTTACCTATGGTGGGACAAAGTCAATTACGGGCAAATTCTAGGGAACCAGTAATTGGTACCCGAGCCCCTCATAAGAGAGCAATAAGAGATGAGTTGTTCGATTAGACTATCACCAAGGAGAAAGCTATGATAACGAGATGGATACGAATGCAGAGCTTTATTCTAAGTTGAGTTCCAAGTGAGTTCCAAATTGATACCCTTAACTGGGTATGCTACAATTCTAAACGATGTGCCCAGAGTTCGCACTCATAACCGATAGTATTTGGATATGTCGAATGTAAATCTACATCATAAAGCGATAGGACGGATAGAATTATTTCAATATTCAACTCCAAAAATGAATGCATGAAGTCATAGTGAATTATTAATAGGACTGTGCCCATTTCAAATATTAAAATATTCACTTTAAGGCTCATTAAATACTGTGTAAGAAAGAATATGAGATTCTTGAATTTCCTTAGAGGAGGATTTCCATGCTATTTATTATTATGAGTTGGTTAATTCTTGTATCTTTTTCTTAATCTGGAGTAAAAAAGTTTTTAAATCAAATACAAGACTTATTCTAAATTTTGGAAGATATCTTTGCTGTGTAGCATTAGGTGACAAGTATAGTATAGCTTTAGGTAGAGATTTTTTTTAAACACTCAGAAATTGTTACCACTTGCTTTAATGATTCTGTTAAGGAGAAAGACAATTTAAAAAAGCTAAAGGAAATGATCTTCGGGTTTAATTTGTACACTTTAGCCCAAAACAGTAAGATGATGAATTTGCTTCTCCAGGCAAGACCCTCATGTCACTCACCCCCACCTCTCAAAAATAAAAACTTTATTACCCTATAAGTGAAACATGAGAGCTCAGGAATGAACTTTCCATTCAACAGCTGCACAGAATAATCCCTCAACTCAGGAATCCATGACATAACTGGAATGACTTCACTTCTAATCACTTTCTACCCCACCTATATTTATCTCAACTGCATTTTATGCATAGTATGCTATGCCATTTCTTCTTCTCTCTCACCCCTTCACATTTTCTAACTCACATCACATGGATTTTAGTTTGTTTATGTTTCTAAGAGTTTGCCAAATCCACATAAGAGCCAAGATTTTTCCCTTCAACCCTAAAATTTCCCTTTAATAAAATTTCCTGGAATTTCTTCCTTCTTATATTTCCAAGTATGGAAATTAAATGTGCATCCTGCAGTACTGAGATTTAGAACTTTGCGTTTACAAAATAACTACACTAAATAAGTGCATAAATCTGTGCTTTCTCTCTGCCTATTTACCAAAATGTATTATCTTTTATCAACCAAAATGGAACCACTGATACAAGTGAAGTAGGCTGAGTTCTTTGAGGATCTACCAACTAAACCAGATTCTAATCATGAAAATTTAGCAATTACTTGAAAAAATATCAACTCTTTGCATAGCTGCAAATAGCATTTATGAGTTGGTTGGCCAAGTCTGACAAGGAGAAAGTGTAAACAACTCAACAGAAAGTAATCCTAATACCTAAAAAATTAACATCATTGAATAACTCCTATGTGCCAGGAAACATGCTAGACATTCTAGAAATAATACATTGATAAAGGATAGAAAAGTAGCAACAGAAAGAAAAAATCTTCAAAAGAAGTTTTCATAAGAAGTGAAAGAAAACTTCAATATTTTCCAGGAGAGAATCAGTTAAACTGATCACACACTAACTTTTACCAGAATATTATTCAACTTTTTTGTTGTGGAGCTTGAACTCAGGGCCTAGGCATTGTCCTTGAGCCTCTGTGCTCAAGGCTAATGTTCTACCACTTGAGCCACAGTGCCACTTCATTTTTTTTGAATGGTTTATTCATGTTTGAATGGAGATAAGAGTCTCACAGCCTTTCCTGCCTGGGCTGGCTTTGAACTGTGATCTTCAGATCTCAGCCTCCTGAGTAGCTAGGATTATAGGTATGAGACACCAGCATCTGGCTATATTGTTTTTTTTAAAGGCCACTAAAATCTTCAGGTGTGGCAACTCACCCCTGTAATCCCAGCACTCAGGAGGTGAAAGCAGGATGATGCAGAATGACTGGACTATACATCTAAGACCCTGTATCAAAAAGTAAAAATAACTAAATAAGTAAAAATAAAAAGAATATAAAGAATATAGTATACATTATCCTTTCAAAAGTAACATATGTACTTTGACAGTAATTTCTGGAAGAATAAGAAAGTATTATTTCTAGGAGCTGAAGTGTTTTGGCCTGAGGGCCATATAAGGCATACAGAATCATTCGGTACATAATGGGACCGGCACATACACTGGTCATATCACATATGCTTCTTATTGGTAACCAAGACTGTCTGCCAATACTGATAATTTTTATGACAAATGTATGATGTTATAAATACCCAAATGGCCCATTGCATTAAAAAAACAAACAAACTTCCTCACCCCTGCTGGTAAGGCGTAAGTACTCCTTTGAGGGATTTGAATGATTCCCGCTTATTATTTTTAGAATTATAAAACTATGGCTACTAAAACCTACATGTTTGCCAAATTGTGTCTGTGCCAACCCTAAAAAACAGGTTGATCTGTTTTTTTAAGCTAAAACTAATCAGAACAGATTTCCTGGAGCATGAAATCTTAACTAGTTTCCCTACTAAAATGTAAACTGAAATCACCTCCCAAGTATGACTCAACTCAATGGAGTATTTGCCTAAGCATTCCAGAACAGCTAGGGTGGGTAGGTGATGCACATAGATCACTGGTATAAGAAAGAAAGCATGCAAAGAAATTACTCAGAGGTCTAGTTCACTGATAATGGGAATTATTCAAGTGCAATTAGCAGTTCTGAAAGAACAGAAAAAAGTATATGAAAGATGAGGGCAGAAAGAAAGGATGTAGCCTTCAAATATTTTATCCTGAACCACAGCCTAGACCTGTTTGCTTGCTATTTTTTTGCTTCACCCTTTCCAGAGCCATGATTCCTTCTCTGCAGCTACCCCTTTGAAGTCATCTCCCCATCCCCATCACTCACATTTCTATGACTTTCTAGTTTCTGTCCTTTTTCTGTCAGCCTCTCTGGATTATAAACATTATAGTTAGTATATCTGAGAAGGACTCTCTGTCTCCCCACCCCCTTCTCTCTCTCCATATCTTTTCCTATCCCCACTTCATTAAACATGCAAACATGCACTCATTTTTTCCTTCCTCAGTTTTTCTCTTTTTTCTTTCTCCAACACTTTCACTAGTCCACTCCAATATATATCCAATTAAGGTCAGGGATATAATTACACACACTCTCTTTTTTTTTATTAGGTTACAAACACCCAATCTGCAGGATTTTTCTGTTAAAAGCAAAACCCTAAAACACTGAGTTGAGAAGGGCAAGGCTTGTTCAAATAGAATTGTCTTTGTTGCTCTCTCTCAGGATATGAGGCTTTGGCAGCAAACTTTAAAAGCCACCTTTTTTGTGTTGAATTGATTGGTGGTATCCTTTAGCCTTTGCTATTTACCAAACTTTTGAATCTGGGAACTCTTTTGTCTCTATCTGAAGTGATTTAAAGGGGGAAGATACTAATTTCATGCTCGCAGAAACCTTACCACCTAAGTGCATAGGAATTCTGTTTACACTCTTTTGAAACCATCCATTCCAGATGATTCAAAAGTGCCAAAAGATTCTGTCTGGGCTTTTCCCATCTATAACAGATTTCCAAATGGGATAGTTGTTCCCTTCAGTCAGGAGACATCTATTTCCCAACCTTAAATACTCCCCTCCCCAAACTATCTGCCTCCAACATTTTGCTCCTGCTACGACTGTAACCATATACTACTCTTCTTTTGAATACTACTATGTCTGCGCTCTTTTTCATGTTTTAAGTTTTTTTTCTAAATTATCTTTCAGATAGTTGTACAAAAGACTTGCCATTTAAGATACTCTTCTTGTGAATGCCAGCTTGTCCTTCTCTAACAGTAGATGTCCAGATTAAATTAAACACTCCTTTTTGCATGCTCTCCTAATCTGTTGTTTAGCTTTCTTCCATGTTGATTGATACTGGACCTCAGCTGGTCTAACTGTGTTATCTGTCATATGCCATGATTGTTAGACCTGTTTCACCAGGCTGATTTGACTGACAGGACCATAGAACCCTTAGCTCCCAATTCCAGGAAGTTTCAGCATCAGAATCATTCATTATTATCTTTCTCCTACAAAACTCTTCCAGGTTACAGTTGCCAATGTGTCTCATTAATTGAAGCTAACTCTAGAAGATGTCAGTTACTGCTTGGATTGTCTCTTTTGCACAACACATTTGAGGAGACTCCAATTAATACTATTTAAAAGAACATCACAAAGCATGACAGTCATACCTAGCCATATGAGTCTGCCTATTTCAATATCAGATCTTCATATTAGGCTGGATTTGGATCAAATTTCTTAGCTCCTCTGGAATTAAACTAATTGACTCTGAATATGGCATACTTCTCAGTTTTGATATAATGTGTAGGGTCTTTATCAGGACTTATTTACACAAGAGCACATACGCATTCTGGACTATGGAATGCAGTTGGTGAGTGGCAGGGAGTGGAGGAAACCGTGGGCGGGAGATTGGTCATTGCCAGTTAACAACAGGTGCAAATGCTTTAAATATAGCCACTGCACTTGGCATCTTGTCTCCCAGCCATCACTTACAGCAACCACTGCTGATTTGGAAATGATCAGGAAAGGATGTCATGTTTACTAAAAGGCAAAGGGGAGAAAACAAAGTTTCTTCTCCTAAGGAATGAAAGGGCAGTATGAGTCTTGGAATGTATAAAGACAACTTAAAAGAATCAAAGGGGAAGGAAATTATTCAAAGAGAGAATAATTATTAACAAATCATTCATATTTAAGCATTTTAAAAGCCATTCCAGCTGCCAAAATTATGGCAGCAAAATCATCT